CACACACACACACACACACACACACACACACACACACACACACACACACACACACACACACCAGCCTTTTAAATTAGAGCCAGGCATTTGCCACTGCTCACAGCAGCATTGTCTTTACTCTTCTCTCTTGACTCTTTCCTAGCCGGCTGCCCATGGAGGCACTGAGCGGTGGGTCTGAGAGGGGAGAGCTGGTACAGTGTTGGCGGGCACTCACTAGGGATACAGATTTGCTGTATATATCAGATAATTTGGTAGATTGTCCCAACAGTTGTTACAAAGGAGAGCAAGCTCTCTCTGGTGCTTGTCACTACTGAATGTACTACTGTGTATTATTACAGGGAAAGCATTTACAGGCTGCTCCCTCAGACCACCCCTGAGAATGTGAGCAAAAACTTCAGCCAATACAGCATCGACCCTGTCACGAGGTACCCCAATATCAACATCAACTTCCTCAGGCCAAGCCAGGTAAGAGCCTTCTGGTCAGTTGCTCGTGTCTTTGTTGTCTATTCTTGGGCCTCCATTGTATTGAAGCATGTTTGATTTAACTATGTTTGGTATTAATACAACACATACTTTGAGTAATCCATGTGGAGGTGACTGAATTTGTGGAAGGTATTATTTTCCATCAACACATTAAATAGCTGAGGCATAGAGTTATTGAAAAACTTGCAGAAGATCAGAAGTGACAGAAGCTGGCCATGGTAGTTCATACCTACAATGCCAGCACTCCAGACTGAAGAAGCAGGAAGATTGCAAGTTTGAGGCAAGCCTGGGCTACATAGTATCCTGAAAAGTAAATAAACAAACAAACATCATACACACAGACACACACGCACGCATGCACGCACACACACACAGTGGCAGTAACTGTGGCCCCAGGACTTTACCATGCCTCCTAAATCAAACTGTTTTTGTTCACTAGCTAAGAAGTGTGACTTCCACCATTGGTAACTTGTGACTTGTACCATTCATTTCACTTTTTCTGAACCTCCATTTTTCATATGAGACATCTCAGATAATCACTTTTTTAATTTGTAAGGGCAAGTGTATTGCCTAGTTCAAAGAACTTTAAAAGGTGAAGTACTCTGTACAAGTAGAAGTTCGTGCTAATTTTAGTCATTTTTTCCCCCTGTTCCTCAAAATCTCTAACTTCATTACTCTATTGAGAATGAATCTTGACAGTTCCAAAAAGTAGAACAAAGTTTTAGGAAGAAGCCTATTAGATTTATTAGCCTAGATTCTGAAGTAAGTTTTTATTCACCTTCTACCTGACGTTGACGCTTTTGAGGCCACGTGCTGTGCTCTGTGTCTGTGTGTCTCTGTGTCTGTGCATGCATGTGTGCATGCATGCATGTGTGTATACTTACACTGTGCTATAACAATCTGAGTAGACAGCCTTAGTTGTCCATGGAGACTGTTCAGAGGGACCTCGATAGCTAAGAGGCTTTAAGCACAGCTTAGAATCAGTAAGTCATTCCATATAACCTACTTCATTACATAAGGATCGTAAGGTCTTCATCATAATTTCTGTCTAGACCTTACCTTGGGGCTGGTGTAAAAGCTCAGTAGAATACATGTTGAGCATGTTTAGCATCCTGGGTTCAACCCCTAGTACCAATGAAAATTAAAAATAAGCTTTAACCAACCTGGGTTTTCAGCTTTCACTTTGGTCATTTCTCCTTTCAGCTGGGAATTTGTTACTTAGTTTGATTTTCCTTTTCAATTTTCTGCCAGGTACGCCATTTGTACGATACTGGAGAAACAAAAGATATTCATCTGGAAATGGAAAACCTAGTGAATTCCCGAACCACCCCGAAGTTGACTCGCAATGGTAAGTTCTGGTACTGTCCTTTGTAAAGGCAAGTGACCTGTCCAGATAAGTACACGCCTCTCAAGGCTGTGCACAGCACCAGCTAAGGCAGTGTCCACAGCCAGTGCCTCTGCCCTCCAGAGACTGTATCTGGGGACTGTTTTGGTTTGGCCATGACGGGTAGATTTGCTACGGCACTTAGAAGATACAAGCCACGGAAGTTACTAAGTTGCCTGCAACGTAGAAGGCAGGTCCACAACAAAAAATTACCGTGATCTGTGGCATTATGAGGAAGTAGAGGTAAATCAGACCCAGAGGCAAGAGAAAGAACATGCATGGACAAGTACACGTCTGCAGGAGACTTTCTACAACAGATGTCATGTTAGCCATGTCCTGTGATAGTACCATAGCACAACAGTAATGGTGTAGGCTATTTCCTAGCACCAGGAGTTCTATGTCTCAGACATTTCCACTGGAAAAGACTTCATAGCAATTTTATGATGAAGGATTATTATGTTCACAAGTTAGTGCAAAGCTAAATATTTTCAGCTGTCTTAGGGAAGAGACTAGACTTTCTTGGACCCAAAAGGGAGCTGAGATTCCTTTGAATAATCCACACCAGAGCTTTTCTGATGTGAGGTTGTTGGGGTCCAGTGAGCTGGAAAACATTGGAGTGTTGCATGTTTTTGCCTATTGGATGTTTCAGGATGTGATCATTCAAAATACAGGGTGTCAACCTGGGTCCAAGGATTGTTCTGGTCTTGGGTCCTTGGCCTGCCTTATCAGTGTCACTCCAGTTTCTTCACTTGGCAAATCGCTTGTTACTTTAGAAAGTGTAAGAGCAAGTCTTTGGTTACTTTCCATTTATGGTGCTAGAGATAGAGCGGAACCTTTTCTAATCTAATCTCCCCATGTTGCTGTGAAGGAAAAGGCTTCATCAGCCAGGTGCCAGCTGACTCTCCAGGGAGATCCTGGGCTACTGCCAGCGAGGGTGACAGCTCAGCAGGCACTGAGCTCCCTCCTGTTCACTGTGTCAGTCCTCAGGAGTGCTTCAGTGGCAGGTCAGTGTCACCCAGCTGTGAGATATCTGACTGTCCCCTGGAGCATTGACCTTGGAGGCTGACATAGTGGTACCTAAATTATTCCTATCATGATACAAGTTATTTAACTTTATGCCTTCCTATTTTCTATTGAATCTGCTACTGACCATTTTGTCCCTACGCTCAGTAAATTTTCCAACTGGATAGGTTAACTGAAAGAAATCCTATGTACTTCAGTATTGTGGGTGACTACACTTCCAATAATAATTGTTTTCATTGCTTTAGAGTCTGTAGCTCGCTCAAGCAAACTTCTGGGTTGGTGCCAAAGGCAGACAGATGGTTATGCAGGCGTAAATGTGACAGATCTCACCATGTCCTGGAAAAGTGGCCTGGCCCTATGTGCGATTATCCACAGATACCGCCCTGATCTAATGTAAGTTGTGACCAAACTTGGTGTTTTATTTTATATCTGCTGAAATCTCAGCGTTTCCTGCTACCAAGTATGTAAATTTTGTTCTTTTTCCTAGAATAAGATTTCTAGACAGCTGGGATTTCTATATAGTTACTTTTAAAACTCCATGTGTCAAGAGTTAAATAGCTCAACCTAGGAATAGTTAGATTTTTACAAAATCATAGTATTTAGAAGGTCAAAACTGCTTTTAACACCCACCTGGACCTGTTAGCTTCACACAGAGGAAAACTATTTATTGGCCCTGGATTGAACTCTTCATTTTGGCCAGCTGTCTCTGGAATGCTATGGGTCACAAGGGAAACCTGGCTAGAACACTTTGGCTAGCTCAAGACAAATATGTCATTACCAAAGAAACAGAGAACAATGAGTATTACTCAATTCAAGATGGCTTGTTGGCGTTTTCTTTGTTAAAGACTGCTCTTTTACAAACAGATGTTGTCAAGCTCATGAAGTGCATATCATTTTACCCACTGGACCAGTAATACCTCTTTTTGTCTATCCTTCACTCATCTGTCTACAGAACCAATGCACAGGGGCAACTCCAAGTCCACTGACATTACCAGCACACTTAGATTTCCCCCATGTTACCATGTTACCATGGAACTCAGAGAGATTCAGAGGCAGAAGTAGAGCATGTTGAATTATTTTGGTTGACTATCTTTTTTATTACTAGGTTCACTTAAGGATCCACTTGTTTGTTTGTTTTAATGGTTGATTAAGGAATTCTAAATCCCTATTTATTATGTGACAGTTATAAGCTAAGACCTAGTACATACATACAGCTTTGTAGAGTTTACATTAAAATGAGGAGTATGGAATGTTGGGTGAATACAGTTATAAGACTCAGCATATATACATAAAAATTGAACTGGAAACAATGAGATTGGTAGAAGTAAGGATAGGTAGGATGTGTGGGAGGAGGAAATGGTAGAAGGGCTGACTCTAATTAAGATGCATTGTACACACAAATGGACACATTAAATTATAACACCCCCCCCCTTGTACAACTATAGGAAAATAACTCTGTGTGTGTGTGTGTGTGTGTGTGTGTGTGTGTGTGTGTAAAGAGTATGAGTTAGGTGCCAGTGGCTCACACTTGTAATCCTAGCCACTCAGGAGGCTGATTTCTGAGGATGATGCTTCAGCCAGGTAGGAAAGTCCATGAAACTCTTATTTCCAGTTAAGCACCAAAAAGCCAGACGTGGAGCTCTGGCTCAAATAGTAGAGTGCCAGCCTTGAGCAAAAAAGCTCAGGGAGATCACCCAGGCCCTGAGTTCAAGCCTCAGGACCAGAACACACACAAAAATGTATGTGTAAGACCCTAGGTTTGATTCTAAACCCAACAAAACAAAAGTAAAGAACTCTAGCTGGACATGGTGATTGATGCACTTTTGTAATCCCAGCACTTAGAAGGCTGAGGCTGGAGGATTGTGAGTTCAAAGACAGCTTCCACTATATAGTGAGGCCCCCTCTAAAAACAAGACAACAAAAATGGAGTGGGCTAGGGGGTGTCACTTAGACGTCAAATGCTTGTCTAGCGTATACCAGGTCCTGGGTTCAATCTCAGTAGCACAAAAGTTAAGGGAGGGATGTTTCATGTGTACTCGGATAACGTGTGTATCCCCCGTGCTCTTGTCACTTGTACATAAGGTAAACACAACATTTTCATTCCCAGCAAAGAAAGAGATGGACCTGAAGAGCAGCTTGAGGTAAATTGTGACACAGGACAGAAATGTGCTTCAGGAGAGGAAGGAAGGGTGAAGGCAGGAGTAGTGAAGGGTGGGGGTGGATGCGGTGTGGAGGAGATGCCTTCCTTCCCATGAGATCACTGGGAAAGGCCTGCACAGAGCAGCGAGTGCCTTACACAATGAGCACCCACAGTTTACAGACAGACGTGATTATTGAAAAATGGAAAAGTGCCATGGGGTCAGTAAGGCTGCCAGGTAAATTTGAAATCACCCAAGGAGAAATGCTAGTTGCCATTACTCTGATTAGCAAGACGCTTAAAACCCAGGGAGAAGTATTTATTGATCTAAATACTAAGTAAAATTCAAGACAATTACTAGTAGAAAAACTTGTGGTGATGGTTTTGGATTTGCTCCTCAGGAGAACGCTGAACAGGATTCACCAGGGCTGATGTGTCAGAATATTCGAGGCCACGTGGAGCAGTTGATCCCAGTAGAATCCAGACTGGATTCGTGTCTCTTTTGAACATGAGTTCTGTATTTATGTCTACAAAATAGAGACATCAAGTATAGGAGAATACATATTAAAGATCACTCCTATCATAGGCTTACATTTTACTAAATAAAAAAGTATATTACTAGAAAAAGAACAGTAGCCTTTCCCATTTCTTCTGGTTTTCCTTTAGCAGGTAGATCCGGTCAGTTCTCCCTTAGATGCTATGTGTTTCTTTAGTAAGAGCAGGAAAAAGAGCTCTGAGGCTCCCAGCTCCTAGGAAGCAGAGACTGTGTGTACTGAGTTGAGGACAGTTAGCTCAGTTCTGTGTTCCTTGTCCTGTTTCTCAGAGATTTTGACTCTCTGGATGAGCAGAATGTGGAGAAGAATAACCAGCTGGCCTTTGACATTGCCGAGAAGGAGCTGGGCATCCCTCCCATCATGACAGGCAAGGACATGGCATCCGTGGGGGCCCCGGACAAGCTGTCCATGGTGATGTACCTGACGCAGTTCTACGAGATGTTCAAGGACTCGCTTTCCTGCGCTGGTAAGGGTCCTGGGGCATGGGGTTGTAGTCCTAGGTTCCCGCCAAGCTGTTGAAGTCTTTTTTCCTCTTTCCTTCCAAGTCTGTGCTACATCAAAGCAGCCAGGCAGGGTACCACCAGCTCAGCCTTAGTCTGTTTTAGACTATTGGTCACCAACACAAGTCTCTGGAAACCTTGCTTCATTGATTTTTTTTTTCTTTCTCTTCAAAATCTCCTACTTAAGCCTATAACTATGCAAAAGTCATTCGTATCCAACCTTATTTGTTTATTTATTGGGGGTACTGGAGTTTTGAATCCAAGGCCTTGTTGCTAGGCAGACACTATACCACGCGAGCCATGCCCACCTTCTTTTCACTTCTGTTGTTTTTCGGCAGGTCTTATGCCACCCCATGACCCCGCCTCTCCCCCAGGCTGACCATGGACTATGATCCTCTTACCTATTTCTCTCATATAGCTGGGATTACAGTCATGGCCACCAAGCCCTGCCTTAAACCGTTTCTCTTGTTTCTACCTCCTTTTCCCAGATTCCATCTCCGACCCAATCCTGAGACAGTGGTCTCTGTTCATGCCTAAGTTCGGAGACACGGTGTGACCCTAATTCCGTCTGCTCATGAACTTTGGTCATTCCACACCAGGCAACATGTGTAATGATGTCCTTTTCATTGGTGCCCTGTCTCCTCAGACTCATTCTCTTGACTCCTCAGCCTGCTGCCTCTGTTAGCTCCCAGCAGGGTGACAGGTGTTCCTGTCACCACTGCTTGTACCTCGAATCACACACCTTTCTTCTTCCCTTCTCTCCCTGTCTCTGTTCTGAAACTTCCCTCACCAAGGCAAGGCTGTGGCACTCTTCTATGACTGTCAGAGGCAGATTCTAGCTTTTGAAAAGCAGAAGTTCAGGGTTTGATAACTGAACTGTATTGGTTGTATGTATAGATGGAAGAGAAGAGTTAGCATCTAGACCCAAGCGTGCATTTGTTTTGTGGCCTTTCCTATGGAGATACCTTTCCTTGAACCTCCTGCAAAGGAAAATGGTCTGTTAGAGTCTTAGAACATTGCTGCTTTCTGTTTACAGATCACTTGGATCTGAATGCTGAGGAGAAAGCAGTTCTAATAGCCAGCACCAAATCCCCTATCTCCTTCCTGAGCAAACTCGGACAGACCATCTCTCGGAAGCGCTCGCCCAAGGTACATACGTGCTGGAGACCTGTTACTGCGGAGTGAATGGCAAGTATGCTGATCAGAATGATGCAGTTTCTCTCCTCTCTCAATACAGGATAAAAAGGAAAAGGACTTAGAAGGGACTGGCAAGAGGAGAAAGACAAGTCAGTCAGAGGAGGTGAGATTTATCTGGGGTTTGCTATAGAATAATTATACTGAATTGGCTTTTCTAGCTTAAATTCTTAGTTCCCAAGTTGCTATTGATAGATCTTTGTATATTCATCCTTTATGAGAATCTCTGTGGGCAGGTGCCTTTCTTGGTGGACTTTTGCCCTTGTTTAATGTTCTAGAGAGCCTCTGGGCCTTCTTGGCTCTTCGGAATCAGACATTTGGCTTCCCTGGGTCTTGAGGGCCAGCCTGGGTCTTCAGTGCCTCTGTAGTGAATGCCCCATGACCCTGGGTCTAGCTTACCATCCAGAGATTAGAACCTTGGAAGAGTAATATTAAGCTCAACGGAAAGCCCTTACTCAAATCCTGATCATACTCCTTTGAGGGAAAAGCATGTGGAAGGCCCCTGTAACAGAACCTGGTTCTTGGATGCTTGCCATTTGGCAGGAGGAAGCTCCCCGAAGCTGCAGAGGAGAAAGACCAACACTAGTGAGCACTCTGACGGACAGGAGGATGGACATTGCTGTTGGCAACCAGAACAAAGTGAAGTATATGGCAACCCAACTCCTGGCCAAATTCGAGGAGAATGCACCGTCTGCACAGTCCAGTAGCGTCAGGAGACAGGTAAGCTACTCACCCGGATGGCCAGATCAGACAAAAAGAAAAGCCTGCAGTGGGATGAGCTGGCCCATGACACGGACCCTGGGTCTTAGGGATTCACAACTGGGCCTGTGTTCCTCTTGTCTGACTTCAGCAAAAAGCATTTTCTAAGCCCATATTACACATTAAGGCTGTTTTCATCTCAGATCAAGTGGAGGGATCTGAGACAAAAGGCCAACAGAGAGATCTAAAAAGTGTGTGTGTGCGTGTGTATGTATGTATATACATACATACCTAAATTATGATAGAAGTATAAATTATAAAATAAGCCTAGTTATGGTGGTAAACACTTGTAATTCCAACACTTGGGAGACTGAGACTGGATAGATCTCAAGTTCAAGAACAGCCTAAGGTACATAGAAAACCTATCTCAAAAAAAAAAAAAAAAATGGGTGCCAGTGGTTCACACCTGGAATCCTAGCTACCCAGGAGGCTGAGATCTGAGGATTTGCAGTTTGAAGCCAGCCCAGGCAGGAACATTAATGAGACTCTTACCTTAACCACCAAAAAGCTGGAAGTGGAGCTGTGCTCAAGTGGTGCCAGGCTTGAGTGAAAAACACTGACAGTGCCCAGGCACTGAGTTCAGGCCCCAGGACCAGCAGAAAAATAAATGAATAAGTGAATAGATGCAAGCATATTAAGGAAAATCTGGACATTAAGACAATTACAATTCTGCCAATATCTTGCTACGTTACTTTTTTTTTTTTTTTTTTTTTAGTGCGCTTCTGTTATAATTCTTAACATGTGCTTTTGTATTTCTGGTTTTCATTTAACTTCAACCATAGTCCCATGTTGTTCCAAACTCCCTACAGGCATCTTCTACAATGTGTGGGTACCATACTCCTGTTCATCTCTCTCTACTGTTGGATGCTTTAGTCGTTTCTCACCTTTCATTACAAGATAGGGAAGTCCATCTTATGATAAAGTTATTTTGTTATGTTGCATAGTATTCTCCTATGGCACTCCTAAAATGAGAACATTTTTGAATACTCAATTGTATTCCTGAAGTCAGGTGAGAGAGTTTAGACAGTATTTGATGTGAACTGTCCATCATAAGTCTTGTTTCTCCCTTGCTTATGTAAAAGTCACCGAGGCTTCTTACAAGAAGAGGAGCTTGGGTTTGAGATTCACACAGATGAAAGCGCCTTACAGAACTTCAGAGGGCTGGAGGCCCCTTCTCTGTACCTTCTACATACTGATAGACCATCATTCGCTTAGACCAGACAGACACCGCTAGCTTTGCTTTGAGTCAGACTTCAGTTAGTGTCTCATATCTGATCTTTGGTTATTAGCGTTTGAAGGTTGTAGATCACCGGAAAGGTGACTGTTCACTAAGGAAGCATTAGAGGTATCCTGGAGACTCCCGGCTTCCCCAGAGTTGCTTTCCTAATGCTGGGAGAGAAGTTTGGTGTTCTAAATCATAATTAGTAGTTTGGACCCACAGAGCACTGCGTTAGACCACTGCAACTTCAATTTGCTTTTTTGTATTTGGGGGGAGGCTATTTTTTTTCCTTATAGTGTGACTTTTTAGAATTAATTATACCCTATCGCTACCACACTCACAGATATGTGTGTGTGCCTTTTTGTGTCTTCTCTTGCCTTAATGTATTTTATTTTGTTTTGTCTCCATGTCCTCTGTCCCACGCATTCATGGCCTGTGTGTCACAGCCGGCACAGGAGCGTGGGGTCAGCCAGCCGAGCTGCTGCCTGTCTGAGCAGGGTCGCCCTGCTCCTACCCCCCAGTGGAAACAGGTAAAGGAACTGACTGGGGACCAGGACAGGAGGCTGCCGCCACCCAGCCTTCTCTCCCACCTCCTGCTGCTGCCCCAGCCCATGTCCAGGCCTGCACTTGAGAATCTTAATTAGCAAGGGCAGGAAAGCTCTGTGTCCAGTGCTTGTCTTGGGAAACCACGTAACAGACGATGTTGATTTGATTCACGCCTTGGGATTTAAGAGGGCAGTTAGTTTGGTGATGAAGCTGACTGAAGTGGTGTGCTGTTTAAGTACTCTAGCCTTTGGGGCTTTGCTAGTGTGACATCTGTCCCTGGTTGGCTTTTTGGTTGCATGTTTCCTTGTGATGAGGAAGGAAGGGTTCTGCATTGGCAAGGCCTAGGAAAGCAGAGCCTTCCCATGAAACGGATAAAAAATGATTTTATTTCAAACCTTGGAGATAAATGTTCATGGGTTGTTTTTTTTCCGTTGGAGGTTTGTCCAGATTTAATTCTTTTGTGGGGGGGCTGAGGATATAGTTTAGTGGTAGAGTGCTTAAGGCTTTAGGTTCCATCCTCAGCACAGCAAAGAAAGCAGAATATTTGGGCATGGTGGCACATGCCTGTAATCCTAGCACGCTGGAGGATGAGGCAAGAGGATCTGGACCAGCTTGGGTTACATAGTAAGATTCTATCTCGACAGCTACAACAAACACAAAACCACTGGATCTCCTGGATCCAGTGTGGGAAAAGTACTGGCACCTGGTAATGGAAAACCTGTCAGAGAGTGAATGGGCCTTTACTGTGTTTTCCCCAGGGTCACTGTTGAGCAAGTTTCTGCTGCCGTGGATGGAGCCTTTCTTGTAGTTGGTGTCATTTAGAGTGGATAGGGTGCCGAAAGGTCACATGAGCTGATCCTGGGTTCCAATAGCGTCTTCCATGCCTGGCCTGCACAAAGCCTCTTGTGCTGCAGAGTAGCTGGCCTGTTGCTGGGAGGTGTTTGGGAACGACAAGCGAGGACTTACTTAAACTGCATTCAGTCCTCTTGAACCTCTTAAATAATACGTCACATGGAAAGCGGGGCCTGTGAGGTTCAGGTGGAATCATAAAGTCATGTCTTGAAGTCAAACTTCCTATTTCCCTGTACCTGGGAACATGGTGTGGAAATTGTTCATAAGGATTGAGGTCAAAAGTTGGGGCTTGGCTCAAGTAGCAGACTGCTTATCCAGCAAGCATGAGACCCCGAGTTCAAACCCCAGTATCACTGGCTAGCTCCTGTAATCCCAAGAAATAGAGATAGAGATCTTAAAGATTGTGTTCTAGCCAGCCCAGGCAAAAGTTAAGTCAGATCCCTCTCTCAGCACACAGAGAATGGGAACTGAGCAGCAAGGTCAGGAGTGATCTCTGCATGGGTGGGCAGATGGCTGCACTTGGCTTGTGCCTGGCAGCTTTGGCGGGCTTGCTGGAAATGTGGGCAGCACGTGTGGTTCAGGGAGGCTGCTGACCCAGGGCCTGTGCCCCAGCAGAGACTGATGCCCAGCCTGAAGAAGCATCAGGCACTCAAGTGTATGAGGCTGCATGTGGCCTGAGTGGTGCGTGAGGTTCCATGGGGAGATGTTGTTTGTCCCAGCCTATTTTGGTTGTTGTCTGGGGCATTTCTGGTTACAATCAATGAGGTAGAACACTTGGGACACTATATGGGCAGCAGTACAGAAATATTATAGTCAAACAGGGATTGAAGCGAGAAAGAGCTGACTGAGACCACAGCAATAAAAACTCTGTCAAATACTCAAGTGCTTGGGGTTGCTTAGAGCGGGAACTATTGCTTCTGTGTGTGGGGAGAGGTAGCACTGGGAAGTGCTCACCCCACTAGCTTTTGTCTCCATAGAATGTGTAACGTTTACATCCAGACTTTTCTTGGTGTTAACTCCCAGCCCTCTAAGCTCATCTGGTCCCAAGGGCACTGGAGACTGAGGACAGAGAGATTGGTGTCTGGGCCACTGTCTTCCTGGCCCGGCAGCTTGCGTCTCCTCTCCCCTCCAGAAAGGAGACTTGAGGAACCACACCTTGCTACGACTGTGTGATTCTCTCAAAGTGGTTCCCACCAAGGCAGAGGGTGTGGCAGACCTCACAGCAATGCCTGAGTTGGCACAGGGGCCCGCCCGTTCCAACTTAGGTCATCCTGTGGAAGGAAAGAATGAATAACTACCCTGCTTCCCAGTGGCCTCTCTTCAGTGCCTTCCTGTGTAAACAGTATGACTCTTCCTTCCCTACGCTTTGCCTTTTGATCTCAGTAGTACATCACCAAGACAAACTGCATGTAAACAGCATGTCATGTGAAGTGGGAACAAACAGGCAGGGGGTCTTTTTCCCTGGCTTCATGACTTCCACAACGTCTACCTGAACGCTGCCCCGCACAGCCATCTAGGCACAGGAAAAGAACTCCTATGTAATGTATGTTGGTTTGTCAAATACCAGAGGCTTTCTGATGACAGACTCACTAGAAAGGGGAGAAAGGGGGTCAGCAGAACAGGAAAAGCCACGGACATACACATGTACGATATTGAGATAACAAAACGCACTTCATTCTTGAGTCATTTGACATACTCATTAGAGTGGGTTGGCCGGCCCTTTCTTACAACTAAGCCCATTTCTGGGTCTCCAGCTTCCTTGATAAAGCCATACCCCTGGCATTTACAGAGCACTATCCCACAAGTCCTCACCAACTGCTTAGTGACCTATGCCTTCTGTGCCTAGCAAAAGCTACCACTGCAGCCTGGAGGCCAAGAGACCATGATAAGCTACTCTGACCTCCCAGTGATGTGCTGCGGGTGGAGGGACGAGGACCAGGCCTCTTGAGATGCTTTGCAGACACCACGCAGCCCTTCCATAACCAGCCCTCATGACCACCATTTCAATGACATTCTCTCTGTTTGTGTCTGTTGATATAAAAGCGACGGGAAAAGGATTGTTCTCGGACCTGCCCCAAAAAAGTGATCACCCTCTCTCCTCCCTCTACTCCGCCTCCCTCTTGGGCACACGGTGGCCAACAGGTGATCCTCTGCATGCTCTGTGTCTGTCTGTCTGTCTGTCTGTCTGCCTGCCTGCCTGAGTAGACACTGCTTTGGTGTCCCCTCCTTTCAAAGACAGCTGTTAAAGAGAAAGACGGTTTAAGGAAAACATTCATAGCAGAAGCAACTTGTATGGCTGCAGATAACCGCTTCCTGACAGCACTGCAGGATAGTTTTCTATATA